ATGGTGATGGTGATGGTGATGATGGTGGTGGTGATATTGATGATGGTGGCGAAGGTGATGGTGATGATGGTGGTAAATGTGATGGTAATGGTGGTGGCAGGTGGTGGTGGTGGTTAAGGTGATGGTGGTGGTGATGGTAATGGTGGTGGCAGGTGGTGATGATAGTGATGATGATAATAATTATATTTTTTATCTCGAATGATTCGAAATGTTTGGATCAATATAGTGCAAAAGCGACGGTGCCAATTAGTTTTCAAAAACGTAAAGTGAATTGTGCAAAATCTTTCGATGTATAATGATCGATGTTATAGTATTAATTTTAAATTATATTTCGACTTTATGATTAATCGTTGGTCTCATTAAATCTGAAAATTTGCACTAGTCTTTGTTTTCTGGATCCGTATACAAAATAATTTTCAACTTAACAAGGAATATTGCGAATTCCAATAAACACAAATATTCACACGGAATTTTGCATAGCGGACCGATAGAGACATTCTAAAAAAACTTAATTAATTAAATAAATACATAAAAAATATATGCTCGTTATTCGCACAACAAACAAAAATAAAACACACTTGCCAATAATGCAATCGATCATCATGACACGATTCTTAGAAAGAGACAATAAAAAAATATGTCAAAGTGAGTCTAATTTCCGATTTAATAAGAGGAATTATACGGTCCAGTGACTTTAAATTCCGTTCCCTTATTAGGTAAAAAGCGAAAGATTGAGTATATAACAAAAAAAAACGCATTTGGGGTGAAATTCAGACGGTGAACTTCTACGCAATTGTTCTATAAAGTGTTTGAATTTCAGTACAATTTGCGTAATTTGTAAGGAAGATAATCACTGTGATGATGCCGATATCTATTTTCATAATTATCTTTTTTATAAGCAATTATTTTCTTTCAATGTTCCACGCTAGTAAACTGTTATGTTATATTGAGAACCAAATGTCTCGTTTATAATCACTAAATTCCATAAGACACAATTAAGACCTATCATCCCGTTTAACAAATGACTACGATTACATCACCAAATAAAAACTACTGATATTAAACATAACACATCAAATTGGCGAGATTTTCATCACTAAATGGCTAAGAATTTTCCGTTTGTAACAAAGAGAGAGCCTGCGGATTGGTCTGGCGCGTTCGACTGGCCCGCGGATTTCCCCGGATTTCAATGATCGTACGTTGTGGGTTGAGTGTCTCCTTGTATTGTTAACAACGCGTTTGCTATGTTTTATGTTACCTTGAGCGTGTTGCTGGTATAGTCTCTTATACTGAAGCGGCGAAACAGTTCTGTCGCTTTTTGTTGTTGTTCTTGTATAGGTGTTCGACTAAGTAGAACGGATGGGAAATGGATGTATGGTTATACGTTGAATCGGTATTTTGTTGATACGAGAAATGAAGCTTGTTTAGACAATATTAAGTTTGGAATGGTGGTTATGTACGAAATATAATACAAACATACTATACTTCTACGACTGACGTACGAAAGTTGTTATACTGACTGCATATTTTTTTCTTCAGAAGTGAATTCAATTGATGGAAATTGATTGATGGAGATTACCAACACTCGTGCACATATTATTTTAATGTGGACCCTACGGCGAATTAAAGATATACCCAATTACAGTAATTAAAGATACACTATATTAAATAATGCACATACATATGTGAAAATATCACAATTTATCACCACAAAATAAATCCGTATAATCGATACACTGGTAGAAGGTAAAATACTGAATGCATACCATCATTATCTTGGCGACACACAATTTCAAAATTAACAACAGAGGACATTCTTTTCACTATACGTGTCACAACAACTACCTGTTTATCTCCGGCCGTTCAGTTCTTCATCTCTCTTTATTCGATTAACATGTGGTTCTATTTTACCTTTGTCTATCTTTCTCTCATTCTCCTTCTTTCTCTCTCTCTCTCTCTCTCTCTCTCTCTCTCTCTCTCTCTCTCTCTCTCTCTCTCTCTCTCTCTCTCTCTCTCTCTCTCTCTCTCTCTCTCTTTCCGCGTCCACTAGTACTCTTATCAACCCAAGTTCACCAGGCGTCTATGTCCAGAACTCCGACGGACCAAGCACTTCACTACAGCTCTTAGGACACATAACAATCGGTAGCAAAACGTTATACCTTTGCCATCACTAATACACTAACACTTGCACTCTATCACAACGCAAATCAACATTTTGAAACTAGTTAAAGATAATCATGGGAAGGCAGCATCATCCCATCGTGAAATCCCCGCGGAAGAGATGAGAATGGATTCATGAAAGAAAAAAAAAGAATGTGTGTAGAGACAGACATCCTACGGTATATCTGCGTGCACGATAACCTATCATGTGTCGACTACCCTTGTCAACCCAGGGAGTGATAAAGTATCCCACCTCTGATTAAGAAATGACAGACAGTTCCTAATGCGTATCTGATATAAAAAAAAAGAGAGAGACATCAAAACGATATCAACAACTCAC